GGTGATGGGCCAAGCGCCGTCGTCTACGGCGGAATTGAACGGAAGAGAGGTAGATTCGAGGTTATGGTCTCCGGTGATTGTTGGTGGAGGATCGATGGATTTTGGAAATGGTGTTATGGTTATTAGAGATCGGGATTTCACCGGAGATCTACCAGATGAGTGTTTAGCTTATGTGTTTCAGTTTCTCGGAGCTGGAGATCGGAAACGATGCTCACTCGTTTGTAAACGGTGGTTATTCGTCGACGGTCAGAATCGTCATCGGTTATCTCTAGATGCTAGAGATGAGATCTTCTCTTTCATAACGTCTATGTTCAGTCGATTCGATTCGGTGACGAAGCTCGCTTTACGATGTGATCGGAAGTCTGTTAGCTTAAGCGATGAAGCTTTAGGTATGATCTCTGTTCGTTGTTTGAATCTTACTCGTGTTAAGCTTCGTGGTTGTCGCGAGATTACAGATCTGGGAATGGAAGAGTTTGCTAGGAATTGTAGAAATCTTAAGAAAGTATCAGTTGGATCTTGCAATTTTGGAGCTAAAGGTGTGAATTCGATGCTTAAACATTGTAAGCTGCTTGAGGAATTGTCGGTGAAGAGACTTAGAGGAATCCATGAAGCTGCTGAGTTGATTCAGCTGCCAGGAGCTGGATCAGGATCGTCTTCTTCGCTTAGATCGATTTGCTTGAAGGAGCTTGTTAATGGACAGGTATTTGAACCATTGGTTGTTAGTACAAAAACACTGAAAACTTTGAAAATCATTCGTTGTTTGGGTGATTGGGATAAAGTTCTTCAAACGATTGGATACGGAAATAGTTCTTTAAGTGAAATTCACCTCGAGAGGCTTCAAGTAAGTGACATTGGTCTCTCCGCGATATCAAAGTGCTCAAATGTTGAGACTTTGCATATAGTGAAAACACCTGAATGCTCAAACTTTGGTTTGATTGATGTCGCTAGGAGATGTAAGATGCTTAGGAAACTTCATATTGATGGTTGGAGAACTAATATGATTGGCGATGAAGGTCTAATCGCTGTAGCGAAATACTGCTTAAACTTACAAGAACTTGTCTTGATTGGTGTTCACGCTACACATATGAGTTTAGCAGCTATTGCTACAAACTGTGAGAAACTCGAAAGATTAGCACTTTGCGGAAGTAAAACAATAGGCGATACAGAGATTGCTTGCATCGCTAAGAAATGCGGGGCGTTGAAAAAATTCTGTATTAAAGGATGTCCGGTTTCGGATCTAGGAATCGAAGCGCTCGCTGGTGGTTGTCCTAATCTGGTGAAACTGAAGGTGAAGAAATGTAAAGTGGTGACTGGAGAAATTGGAGAATGGCTGCGAGAACAAAGGAAGACACTTGTGGTGAGTATGGATAGTGATGAAACCGAAGCAACACTCGCTGTGGATGGTGAGGTTGAAACCGTTGTAGAGGGCCCGAGGATGGCTCAAGGCGGTGGTGGTGTTGTGGCACCGGAGATTGGTTCAGGCAATGGTGGAGGAAGTAGATTAGCGACGACGATTAGGTCAAAGTTTGGGTTTCTTGCGGGAAGAAACTTGGTAACTTGCACATTCAAGAGATGGTCTCATACTGATAATGGAAGTAGTTCTACTTGATCAGCTTATAACTAAGAAAAACGGTAATTGTCAAAAACCTGTTTTTTAAGTGAAGTTTCTTTGTTTCTTAATTTTGTGATCCACTTTGTATGTTTCATCTGTGTGTAAGAAGAAGACTTAGAAAAGTCGTTTCCAGGAAGAATATTTATTGTATTTGTTTTTCTTGTACTTGACTATTGATTGGAATCTGAATTTTCTTCAATGATGTGAATGGATTGTGATAAAAGTTGAATTATTTGACTTGTATTTGTGAAATGTAACCAGTATAATTTTGCATTTGTGGTATATAAGGTCACAGTTTGGACTAATGACCTTCAGGGTAAGTGAAACAAATATTTGGACTAATGACCTTCAAGTTCAAGGTAAGTAAATGTGTAAAATCGTAATGAAATTAATCTATTTGGTTGATGAACAAAATAAATCTCTTACAGATGTGATAAAGTTGGATTATGAAGAACAAAAAAACTGAATTTTATGAGAAACTTGAATTGGACAAAAAAGTAATTAACCACCGAAGCTGCCCAATTAAATAATTAAACAAAAAAAGAGGCAATAAAAGTATAAAACCCTAGATTTTTTCAAAAATTCTCAGTTCTCTTAACCAAAATCTCAGAATAACGTAACATTTGATGTAAAAAAAGTTTTCTCTTTGAATTAATTTAACATATAATTAAAAAAAAAAAATCACTGGATTTTGCCAGTTCATTAGTTGCAAAAACAACACTAGTGACATGGCTTTTGTCTTTTAAAATCATCTCACGTCATATCTAATAAACATTAAATACCCAACAAATTATATAAACACAGCAAAGGCCTTATTGGAGTAGCATGAAGGAGCATTAGCACTATGTCACAAGAGTTGTATGCTATGATTAATATGCATAAATGATTGGTAAAACTGTGAATAACTAGATATAAAATTAAATAAATTATTTTTTTTATATTTATTTATATGCATTCTAATACATTATATACTAGATGAAGGATCCGCATATATGCGGGTATGTGATTTAATCTTTTATAAATCTATAGAAAATAAAATTTTAATTGTGGTGAACAAAATTAGATCACCCGTTAACATAAATAAAATCAAAGTAAGATTGTTACTGCAAAAACCATTGATCGAGAAGAATATCATTTATTTATTAATTTTTATGTTTTTGTTATTTGATTTACAATTAAATTTTATCACATTTTTGAAATTATTAGTTTTTCTTAGTCCTATTTAAATTTGATAAATTTTTTTACTTTCAATCTTATTTTACTATTCAAATATCTATTTTTGAAAATGTTGATAGATTATTTCTCATATTTATATTTGAACTATTTTTACTCTTAAATATTTTATAATTTGCGAAAATAAAAGACAAAAAGACAAAATTAGATCACTCCATTTAAATAATAAGATAAAATTAAAACGTTATTCAAAAATTATTTATATAGAAGTTTATCAAATATTTATCTATTGTACTCTTATATTTTATTTTATATATTTTATTATTCTGAACTAAATTATATCACATATATCCAAATAGTTAAATATTTCTAATCCTATTTAAGTAGGATTACGTTTTACTATTTACCAAATCAAGATATAATTATTTTTTAATAGATAAATATTTTTAAAATGTGGCTAAATCTAATAAAAATATTATTTTATACTTATATAAATCTAACCAATTGATTCAAACATACCTCGATAAGATTAATTACGTTGTATAAAAATCCCAATTTTACTTTTACCATTTAAGTAATTATTAACGTGAAAAAAACCAAGAAAAATTGAAAAATAAATTACGACACCTCATATCAATGTTGTCAACAACAAACAAAAAATCAAGTTAGAATGAATCATATTAAGCTCAAAAAACTAATATATATTATCGTATTCTATTTCACATATCGAAAAATATAATAATCTATCATTTTAATGAAAAGCCAAAACTAATAAGTTTTATGAAAAATATTATTGAAGTTTTAAATTACATAGATAGGAGAGAGTATAAAAGTATGTAAATAATTGTGAAAATATAGAAATTTAAACTTAAATCTATTCAAATTAAAAAAAAATTATAGTTATATTATAATATCCTAATAGAAAAAGGTATTTGATTTATTGTTTTATCTATTTCTATTTAAAATTAAAATATATAATTGATAAATACAAATAAATAAGTATTTATTTTAAAAAGCTGTTTGACATATGGC